CCCCCCCCCCCCAAAAAAAAAAAAAGTAACAAAGCAAAAAACAAGTGTAAAACAGTATCTCATTTCCTGACTAGGAATTACTGGAGTCCTGAGGAGAGTGTGTGTATACATACATAATTTTTTTTTATGTTGTTTTAACAGCCTGTACACAACAGTGGATCCAGTGGCTATGGAAGTCTGGGTAGCAATGGTTCACATGAGCACTTGATGAGTGTGACATCCTCCAGTGACAGCACAGGAAATAATAATGAAGACAGTCATAAGGATAAACCAGTAGGTTTTTAATTTTTCTCAGTCAAGTATGTGGCACAAAATAAACTAAGTGGGGATTTTTACCTTCTAGAATAATATTTTCAAATTAGAAATAGGAGAAAGGATAAAGAAAATGCCATCTTTTTTGTTTAATGTAGAGGGAGTAAGCATTTCTGGTGTACATGAAGGCTCAGGGTACTGAAGCATAGTGATAGACATGAAAGTCAGTGTTATAAAGAATTCAAACCTATACACTGTGTTCACTTAATCTACTGTCTGTTAAATGCTGTATGTTGTGTTTCTTGGAAAACCAGCCAGGTATGTGGAAGCAGTTTCTTTTGGGAGAGGAAAATCTGTAATTACTGTTTTCTCAAATGAAAGTAACAAGATTAAATGCAGTAATGCCTGTATAACCAAGGGATAGCTTGATCCTGATGGCTTTTAATGTTGCAAAAATACAGAATTTATATAGAATGAAATAAATTTAATGGAATAAAACAATTTTCTAGTTTGTGTTTAGAACTTTACTTTGTGTTTAATTCTGAAAGCCAAAAATTTTCCTTGATAAGGTTGTATTGCTTGTAGGCTAATTCTCCCAAATCTGATTTGTGCTTCTGTGATCAGACTTTGCAGACTCCTGCTCTTGCCAAGGTGGTCACTTTCCTGGCTTTCAGTTCTTAACTGGAGGAGTAAGCAGATGAAGTCTGAGGGTGTCTTATTTAACAGGGAAATAGATGCCTAGCATTCCTTCACTATTTCCACAGACAGTAAAGGCTGTTACAGTCCAATTCGGTAACATCCTGTCAGTGCTTGGTTAGACTTCTAGGTTTTTTACCAAGTGATAGGTTTGTTCTTTTCCTGAAGACATCTTTGTAATGGATATTTTATATTTTCCTATTCAAGTTATTCAAACAGATTAAAAGAAACGCAGAGTAATTGTTTACAGGAAACATACTTTAAATTTCTTCTTTTTCCAATTGCAAACTTCTGCAACTGCACAATAAGATTGTATATATAAATATTTCTTCTGTGATCAAACTAATTGCAAGATAGAGATTAACTGAGGTTAGTTTTAGTCTACTGAGGAATCACTATGCATAACGTTTTATGTCAAAATTAGGAAATAACTGTTCTTCCCTCCTCCCTTTCAGGAGGTTTGTCAATATGCCCGTAAGGTCAAGAATAAAGGACAGCATATTTTCACTGACAGTAAAGCAAAACTCGACTACAAGAAAGAGTCTTTGGCAGGTAGGACACGAGCAGTTCCTAGTCTCTTGTGCTGGTGCTTTGGGTAATATGGCAGCAGGACTTTTTTCTAGTTGAGCTCTATCCAGTGCATAAAGGCAGCATTTTATCAATTCCAATTATATTGTCCCGTGTCTCTCTGTGCCCAGGAAAATACTGTGTTTGGCTGTATTGAATCAGTAGTGGTTTAACACAGTTAAGGCATGGCCTAAAGCTGTTGTCTTGAAATAATTTAAGTGAGCACTAGAGTTGTCTCATCCTGAGTGTGTTTCAACCCTAATGATATATATTCTCTTATAGCCATAGTGTCTATTCCCTTTGGATCCCTGTGCAATATAATTAAACTTTATAACTCCAAGCATCCATAAGGATAGGAAAATGCTTGCATAATATTCTTTTATTGGTGCATTACAGTGGTTAACTTGTAACCTACTAAACATGTAGAAATGAAAAACCTTTACTACTCTTGCTTTTATTCATGTTTTAATTACATAATAGCATTATCTCTTTCCACAGAGAAGCAGAATACTGCTGGTGGTCAGGTGAAAGGTGTAGGGGGAAAGGATACTGCAGGAACAGTTGCTCCAAAGAATGTGACTACTGAAGAGTTGGCTTGGAAAGAGCAACCTGTGTATTCCTATCAGCAGATCAGCTGTTTGGACAGTGTCATCAGGTGAGCAACCTGTGAGTAAATTACTCTTGACCTCTGGACACAGGACTAGTATGTCTAATATTGCTAAATCTTTGCATTTTAGGTACTTGGAGAGTTGTAATGTGCCTGGTACAGCAAAAAGAAAATGTGAGCCTTCAACAAGTGTTGCATCACTGAGTTCTGGAGTTCATGAACAAAAAGCAGCTGATAATTCTATCCAGCCATTAGGAGGTAACTCCACAGCTTTCTCATAGCTGAGTTTTGCTGGCAGGCAGTTGGATGCTGCTTCTTTGCAGAATAATGTCAAGTGTATCTTAGGCATGACCTCATGGCTTCTTTCTCAGTGTTTGATGTTGGTGATTTAACTTTCATCATTAATATCTTACAATTAAAATACTGAGTAGTTGATGCATATCATATGCATATCTGGATTGTAGATGCAATAAACTAATTTGTACTGTGCAAAATACAGTAGGATTTTGAGGTTCAGGATTTGAATCATTATCAAATGTAAGAAGTTTATTTCACAGTTAGGACTTGTAAGAACAATCAGCTGAAGGACCTAGCTGCTAATTAATCGCAACAAAAATATGCATATTACTTTTCTGCTTTAAAAAAAAGAACAAGAGAAGGTTAAATGCAGCATTGGACTGTTCTGTGTTTCATAAGATGTTAGAACTCAATGTTCATCCATGAAGACAAAAAGCTGGGGATTACTGAGGCAAGCTGTCTAAAAAGTCTGCTGCAGACAGAAACATTTAGTTAATTTTTTAGGCCTTAGATGTAGCATTTGACATAGTCCCTTGACTGGATGGGGAGCTAGATGAAGATTTGTAACTGGTTAATCCAAGGACTGTGAGATTGGTAAAGAACTGCATGCAAATGAGAGATTTGCTCATTCTACCTTGCCATTGTATGAGGCTGAAGGGAGAGTGTCCAGTGGAGTTTCTCAAAAATTGGTTGTGGGAATGATCTTGGCTATTTGATGAGCTTCAAAAAGAAGTTCTAATGCAGCTTTTAGAATCAAATTAGAAGGTATCAGTAGACCAGGAACAAAGAGTCCTACAGCAGGGATTGAAATGCTGTAATTTGGAGTCTCTGTGGTTCTGGTTGGCAGGAGATGATGTGGGTCACCAGCTCTTTGCTCCACTGATGTCTGAGACAGATGAAGTCACCAGTCAGGAAAATGGCAAACTTTGGATCTTAAATATGTGTTATGGAAGTATTCCTAAGAGAGTAGGAATGTTTTAATGCTGTTTTGTGAGGCACTGCTCTGACCTCTGCTGGATTACTGTGTGTAGCTTTCAGGGGAGAGAATTTTAAATAGCTGGATGCAAAAAACAAAGCTCTTACAGTAACCAGCTAATGAAAGAAATCAGTGTACAACACTGGGAGCTGGGGGAAACTTATTCTTGGAAGAGGCTAGAAAATTTCTTCCAGAACTGTGCTATGAAAGAAGAGTGAAGACCAGAAAATGAGGAAAATATCCTTTATTGAAAAGGTTTGGTTTGGCTGTATATAGGCTTAGAGGGTTGCATTTGTTGCTCCACAATCATTCTATTCCTGGAATGTATAAAATAAAAAGTTCACTTTTTTGTCTTGTCAAGCACAGTTTGACCTTTACTGGTTTGCAGCCCTAGCAGCACGTAACTTGAATTTGCTCTTGTTTATGTTCAGTAAGCTACAACTGTATTTCTTTCAACAGATCCTGCTGTGTTGAAGGCATCTGGTAAATCAAGTGGTCCCCCAGTGGTTGGTGCTCACTTAACATCTTTGGCTTTACCTGGCAAGCCTGAAAGTGTTGTGTCTCTCACCAGTCAGTGCAGCTACAGTAGCACCATTGTTCACGTTGGAGACAAAAAACCACAACCTGAATTAGGTAGGATTTTGCTAATATTTTTACTTCAAGATGGCAAGTGCTAGCAAGTTCAAATTTCAGACATGTGAACAGCTGATATCTGCTCATGAGTTACATTTTGTTACAGCCAAGATGATCTTAGGAAGTGGAATAAATAGGAATGGAATGTGTAATCTTAAACTTGTAGCAGAATTACTACAGAACTGTAATACCTTAAAAATGCATGTACAGGGTTTTCTTTGCTTCATCTTGAATATTTTGCTTTCTGTTCCTGTAGAAATGATAGAAGATGGTCCAAGTGGAGCAGAAATCATAGATGGCCAACTTCTTGCCCCTCCATCCAGCTCTGCACACATAAATCAAGAGAAGGAGCCATTTAAAAAACTGGGACTTACAAAAGAGGTCCTTGCAGTGCATACGCAAAAAGAGGAGCAGAGCTTCTTGAACAAATTCAAAGAAATAAAGAGATTTAATATTTTTCAATCACACTGCAATTACTACTTACAAGATAAACCAAAAGGACGGCCTGCTGAACGTGGTATGGCAATAGTTTTTACCATAAAACTTGTATTTATATCAAAAGTAAATCCTGTTCGGAGGGCATTTCCATTTTCAGTGGTTTTGTGGGGCCAGTGTGAACAGTGACAGTTGAATGCTATTTTCAAAACCCACAGAAATATTTTCTGACAAATCTTTCTAAAAGACTAAAGTGGAATATTGTTTTTAGTGTCACAATGGACATTTTAGTAACTAATATTTTGATTTTTGTATCTTCTCTATACTATTACTGTCATGCATCTACTCTCAAAAAAAAAACCGGGTTTAGAATGTTTGCTTTTCTGTATCTGTGCTTGTATTCCCTTGCTTTTCTTTTCCTTCTGTTTTGCCATCTGTCTTTTATTCAGATTTGTGGTTTGTTTTGTTTCAGCTCCTTTGTTTTCCAGTTTTCCCCATTCCACTGCTGTGTAATTGGTGAGACAATCTGATAATTGTCTGGTTGCCTTTAAGGTAATAATGTGATCAGCAGGATGGAAATGGCAGAGACTAGCAGCAACAGTGAGATTGTTTTGTTTATTAGGCCAAAGAGCTCTGGATGGCATTTTCAGAAGTGCTTGATATGATCTGTCGTTGTTCTCACGTCAACCTTGACTTGGAACAGAAGTCAGACACTGCTAAGCATTTTTTTCAGATTTTTATCTTAATTTTTTAATTTAAATAGTTATACAGGTCCTGTATAACTATATAGCTGTATTTTTTAAACCTTTCTTACAACTTTTCCTTTTGCAGGTGGCCGTGGACAAAGAAACACCACTTCTGGAGTGGATCAGCCTTGGAAGAAGAGTGGAAAGAACAGGAAATCCAAGCGCATTAAACCCCAGGACTCTTCGGACAGCACAACTTCTGGAGCTAAATTCCCCCACCGGTTCCCCCTCCAAGGTTTAAATACCACAGCCTGGTCGCCATCAGAGACTTCCCAAGCCAGCTACTCCGCAGTGTCCTTCCCCACCGTCATGCCTGCGTATTCCCTTCCTGTTTTCCCAGCAGCAGGGACGGTGCCACCGGCTCCTGAAACTTCACTCTCTGGTTTCAGTCACTTGCCAGACTCTGCCAACACTTGCTCTGTGGGGCCATCCCAGTTCTCTGCGCCCTTCATGACCCCTGTGGTGGCTCTTGTGCTCCCCAACTACGTGTACCCGGAGATGAACAATAACTTACCTCAAACGCTTTACCCCAGCCAGCCCAACTTCCCTGCCCACCCCCCCTTCTCCTCACAGACGGTGTTCCCTGCACAGCCCCCCTTTGCCACAGGCAGCCCCTTCCCACAGCAGGCGTTTTTCCCAGCACAGCCATTCCAGTACAGCCCCGCGGCGGAGCCGGAGAGGGCTCCTGTGGAGCCCCGCCACGACCCCTCCCGTTCCTGCACTCCGCAGTCGCCGGCTCCGCAGGACCAGGCTTCGCCTCCGCTCTTCCAGTCCAGGTGCAGCTCTCCTCTGAACCTCCTGCAGCTGGAGGAAACCACGAAAACCGCCGAGAGCGGAGCTGCTGCGGCCCTGCACGGGGCTCTGGGTGAGGAGGGAGCCATAGGCAGCATCAGGGCGGCAGACAACGGCAGCGGGAAGGAATCCTTACCTGTAAGTCTGGGTCACGCCCCCTTCTCCTGGCTCTGCCGCTTCATTTCCAGTCCTTTCTCTTCCAGGGCAGCTTGTTAACAATAGACAGAAGTTACATAATGCCCAGAGCTGGACTCACAGTTGTAGTTGGTAAATTCAGACTTAAGCAAACTGGACAAAACGTGAAGTCTAAACATTAGAATAGCCTGAACCTTTAAAAATTAAATCTACCTCATGATTCTTCTGAAGTTACACTAGGAAGCTTGGGAATATACCCTGAAAGAGTTTTGTTCCATTTCATTGAAGAAAATAGGAATATGGATAAGCCCATTGAAAACCACCAAAATAAACTAAAATAATGTGGGCACTTCATTTTTAGCAAAAACATTTGTGCTAGTGAATTTGTGTGCATGGGAAGAATAATCTGTAAGTGGTCTGAAAGCAGCTGATTTAAATTAAAACCACATCTGTGTTTACAAACAACCAAAGTAAATGAAGAATTCATCATTTCTTGTTTTGTTTGTTGCACTGAAAGTATGCTGCACTATTTGGTAACTTCAGGGGTTTTGTTATTTCCTGGCTCATTTCATGGAGTAATCTGTCTGTAAAGGTTTCCATGGTAGATATATGTAAACTATTATTTGTGCTTTCTAAAGGCACCATAGAGTATTGTTGTAAATGCTGATGGGATAGAGCACCATCCTATATTTTTTTTTTGTTGCCTCCTTCCATTATTCAGGAATGTGTTCAGGGTAAAGTCAGTTCTTTCCATTATTACATGTTTTACTAAATTCTGTCAGCCTTAATTGCTAATATTTAATCTTCAAATTGATTTGCAGTCAAGTTTTGATTTGGTTAGAGATTAGTGTAGTTAATGCTCCTTCCATTAAAAATATACAAATAAGTGATCTTGCCTGGGAAGCAGCTGGGAACATTTTCTTACTACTCTCAGTAGCACTCTTCCTTCGCATCTCAAGGAGATGGAACAGTGAGGGATGTTGCTGCAAATCCTTTGAGGTAGATTATAATAAGAGCAATTGCTAGTATGTTGTGAGTGGCTTGGGTAAAATCTTGAGTTGTCCAGGACAGTAGGTGCTGCCAAAAATGAACAGGAAATGTTTCTTACTTTCTCATGAAACCATATTATTAATTTTTTGAAGAGAAATTTGGTTGGTCTTACTGAAGGACCCCCTGTCTACCTGTCAGTCCATTTGCTATTCCTTGGCATATGTTGTTGGTGACTGTCTTTGAATAATCATATAAACATTAGAATATGAAGTGAAATTGACTTATTCCTAAACATTTACATGATTAGTAATCCAGCTATTACATTTAGTAATAAATGTCTTAATGAATAAAGCCCATCTCATATGCCCTTCTCATACCAGTTGATCCCATCCTCTTTGTCTCCTCTAGTTTTGAATGTAGGAATTTTCTTTTTTTCCAAGAGAAATGTTGAACTAATTTTGTAAGATGGTCTTGGGTAAAAGTTCATGTTGATGTTTAAGTATAGAGGAGTGCTGACAACTTTGTAGCCTTTTATTTAAATGGACATTGCAAAACTATGAACTGTTTATTACATTGAAGCATAGTTTCTGAGAATTTAAAGTAACAAAGTTATTATGTTTAGTAATAAATAGCTTTGATTTTTTTTGTGTTTGGGTTTTTAAATATTTTTTCTCCTTATCACTAGGCTGAATCTCCAATGGATGCTCAAAACAGCGATGAGCTCTCCATGTCCAGTGTCCTGCTTGACATTTTACTGCAGGAGGGTGCATGCTCAGGCACTGGCTCAGCCTCTTCAGGGAGTGGTGTGTCTGCAGCTGCTGAGTCCCTGGGCTCGGGGTCCAATGGCTGTGGCATGTCAGGGAGCAGAACAGGTAACTCAGGCAGCCAGAACCTTCCTGGCATTGCAGAAGAGTTTGAGGTATTGCCAACACCATGAACAGCAAGTGAAAAGCTTTATCTTTACTTCTTGCTGCATAGTTTATTCTTGATTCCTTTCTTACTGCATTACACAAATGTTTTTCTATTGTGCTTGAATAGAATAGAACCTTTTCTAAGTGTGTGTAAAACAGGCATTAAGATATGATGCAGGTATAAAGGAATAAAAAAAGACGGTACTCCTTCATGTTCATTTAAAACTTTTAAATCAAAGTGAGATAATTATTCTGTTGAAAATTAATGGAGACTTTACTTAAGAATTTGAGTTTTAGAAGATTAATGCAGTTACTCAAGGGTGGAAATTCCCTCTGTTTAAAAAAAAGAAGTAGAATAATGGTATTTATACATTCAGTTCTCTTTAATCTTCTCTACACTCAAAAACATTCAGATAATCCATGTATTGGAAAATTTATAATGAAATGTTAAATCTCTGTTTACAGGTAGCAGTGAAACTAGTCACACCAGCAAATACTTTGGCAGCATTGATTCCTCAGAGAATCACCATAAAACCAAAATGAAGACAGAAATGGAGGAAAGTGAGCACTTCATCAAGTATGTGCTTCAGGATCCCATCTGGCTGCTGATGGCCAACACAGATGACACAGTGATGATGACTTACCAGATCCCCTCCAGGTAATTCCAGTGCCACAGCCCTTCACTCATTCTCTGCTTAGGGGAAGCAGAATGTGCAGGAGGAAAGATGCATAGGAACCTCTGTCTCTGCAGAATTAAACTGGGTTTAATGTTTAGCTCAGTGTCAAGAAAAATTCTTGCTTCCTTTATATGTTTTGTATACTACACAAGAACTTCTCAAAAAGGAATAATTGTTTAATTTGGCTCAGCTGTATTTTTAGGTCAATTTCCTGAGTTAAAATGAACTGTGTGTATTTTTTGGAAGCTGTTCCATAGTTACTGATTTGTTACTACTTGCCCAGAAATCCTTGGTGAATGTGCTTAGATCTAGGCATGGTCTGGCCTGGAAGATCTCCAGTCCTTGGCTCTTGTCCTTGAGATGCCACATTCAGTGGAATGCTGCTCTTGGACTTGTCAGTTTTTTTTCTGAGTAGTTAACCTCCATGTGTTCATTCTGCTCCATAAATTAGGATAAGGAAGTAGAAGTTAAAAATTGTAAAGTTTCTGATAAAATGAACTTACTTTAAAAAACACAAAACTCACTACTTCAGTAGCAAAGAGCAGATATAGGGAAAGAAGGGGTGACAAGTCTGTGGATTTCTTTTTTAACCTCCTTGTTTCTATTTCTTGGGAGCAATGAATGGTGTTCTGAGAAGAAGTGGAGGTTTCAGTAAAGACAAGCCTTTGAAAGGGAAGGTAAACAAGCTTTCAAAATACAGAAGCACAGGCATGATGGGGAAAGTAAAGAATATGTTGTAAGAAGTTTAGCTTTTTATTTTCTAGTTTTAAAGATACTTTGACATTTCTCAGTTTTTGTAGTCTGAAGTGTTGACAGCCATAGGTGTGAATTCCAGTAACCCATAAAAGCAGCAAAGCCTGCCAAAGAACAGGATATTTTGGTTAAGTAGAGTGAAGCTCATTGTCAGAGTGTGATGCCCAAGGAGTGAAGTGCAAATCCAACCTGTTCTTAGGTATCCTGTAAGGAATAGAAATTATTTTGGGTTTTTTGGAACTTGCTTTCTATTGTCATCTTCTATAGAGGGATACAGCTTGTAAATGTTGCTGTGGGATGGGTTTTTGTAGATTCCTGAATGGAGGTGTAGGGCATTTGGAGGGAGAGAGAATTTTGGCTGCTGAAATAGAGCTGTTTTTCTAAAGTTTAGTTTGTTCTTGCCGATCTTCTTAAACACATCTTACTCCTGCTATATCTCCTGTGCATCAAGTGTCTGCTTTGGGTTGTCCTCCCACTGAAGGGGGGCTTGGACCTGGGGGAAACTGGAGCTTTGCTGGTTTCACTGGTGGTGCTGCCTGAATAGCTCTAGGAAAACTTCTCATTGGTGGGATTTGAAAAGACAGTGAGCCAGCAGAGATGTCTGCAAATGCAGAGAGCAGCTGGAGTAATCACATTTCATTTTCTTCCAATACAAGATTTCTAAGCATAACGTTCTGGAACAAAAATTGTCTTTAAAAATGTTAGTATTTGACTGTGTAACCTCACGTAGGCATGAAGCCCAGAAACTGATGAAGCTCAATTTCTAAATACATTTTATTTTAGGGATTTGGAAACAGTTTTAAAGGAAGATAAGCAGAAATTGAAGCAAATGCAGAAACTACAGCCAAAATTTACAGAAGAACAAAAACGAGAGCTTATTGAAGTTCATCCATGGATCCAGCAAGGTGGACTGCCAAAAACTGTTGCTAATTCTGTAAGTTTAATGGGTTAATTACTTTTGCATGTATAATAGTGCTTAAATTATTAGCTGCCTGTGTTAGACTCTTCCTTTCCTGTTGCTATGAAAGCTTGGTCAATTATGCATAGGAAAAAAAAGAAGTTGAAACTTCCACACGGTGGTTTCTAGGCTGATTCAATTTAGCATAAATCTTCCTTCCAATGGAGGAAATTAAAGTAGTGGTGAATACAGTACAAGAAATTTGCTTCCTCTTTTTGAATTTCCATGTCTCTATTTGAAATGCTTTAGCAACACAGCAGAAACTTTATTACATAAAAATCTCTACTTTATGTGCAGCAATGGATGTCCATTGTTTTCAGAGTACAAAATGAAGGGCAATGCACTGATCATTTTTTCTATCAGACTTCTCACTCAGGATTATGATTCCTCTAAATAGTTTAATGGCTTGAAAGGAAAAAACAAAAAAAGAAAAAATCCAACAGAACAAAGCATCCATGCAATTTTATTTGTTTGTGTATTTTACCTATTCACACACAAATATCTGATTGCATTTTCTTTTCCTTAAGCTTTCTATCATTTGTGGCTTTTTTTATGCAAAAACTGTCAAACACAAGAGGCTCTGTTTGCACATGAGTGTTTCAAATGTCAGTGTGAAGAAATTGCAGTGGAATCCTAATCATGGGCTTAATGTTACTGCAGCACTGAGCCTACAAGCACCCACCTTGTGGTCTTTGGCACAGCTGCTTCCAGTAGAGTTCTCAAGTACTTTCATTGATTTATTGCACTTTATAAAATCACGGTGTGTGGAAAAGTTGTGGAGTAAAATACAACACAGGTGGAGAGGTTCTCTTGGAATCAAGGATTGCATGCAGGTGGACTGCTGCTTGGAAAAGCTTTTTATTTTTTTATTTTGCTTATGAGTGCTTCTATTCTTTTTTTCTTTTTAGGAATGTATTTTTTGTGAGGACAATATACAGAGCAATTTTTATACATCATATGATGAAGAAATCCATGAAATGGACCTTAATGAAATGATTGAAGATAGTGGAGAAAACAACTTGGTTTCCCTGAATCAAGTCAGTGAAGAACAAACATAGCCTTTGAGCCTGTTGTTTTGAAAATTGCTTCAAAACGACAGTGAAGGATCCACAGAGGTTTTAATCTTCTATCCAGCAGGATGAATGCAGTTCATAAAAGCAAATGTGTTTTTCTTGCTCTAGAAGAGTCATTTGTGAATGAATCTCTTTTTAAATGGTGGCAATCTCTTCCCAGTAAGGACATTGTTGAAGATGGTATAGCTTTTCTTTAAAAGACTCATTTTGCACTTACATGCCTCAAGTATTTCTTTATAAACTATAGACACTTTCATTGATGCCTACTGATTTTTGTAGAGTGGGTTAAGAAGTGCTGAAATCTCCTGACATACATACTGTTCTTCAGATCTCCTTTTGGTGATGGTTCAGCATTATAAATTGTTGAGCAATTTTGCTTAGTGGCTCTTTAGCATTGTTCTTAATATTTGAAGTGGTCCAGCATAGTAGGAGAAATAACCTTCAAGGAAATCAATTCACATTTGCCCTTCTCATACCAGTTGATCCTCTTTGTTTGTCTCCTCTAGTTTTGAATGTAGAAACTCTTTTTGTCTAAGAGGAATGTTGAGCTGATTTTATAAGATGGTCTGGTACTAAAGTTCATGTTGATGTGTAAGTACAGAGGACTGTAGACAACTCTGTAGCCTTTTATGTAAATGGACACTGCAAAACAATGAACTGTTTATTACCTTGAAGCATAATTTCTGAGAAATTTGTACTCAAGAAATCCTTATGCTTAAAGATTTTAAAAACTTAGGACCACAGAAGATGACTGCCCATGTTCCAGTGGCTGTTAGACAGAACTTGGGCTAACTTTAACCTTTATTTCTGACTTGTTTTGTCAGGAGGTTGGCTGTCAGTTTTTCCAATGTGGCTAAACAAACATCAAATTTGTATGTGACAAGAGAGAAATCGATGTGGCTTGTCCTTTGAAGATAGCTTTTATAAAAAAAGAAGTGATTTTGAGAATAGTGTTGACTCACGCTATTTGATTTACATAATCTCAAATTTAGGGTGGCTGGAATCCTTTGCTGTTAAAGATTTCATTTTAATGCCTCTGAGATTGTATTGACTTGAATGTGTGTACTTTATGTTCTTGTGCTCTTTATGTCTGTTGGATGTGGGAAGAAAACATGAGAGAACAACTGTTAGTATGTTGGTTAGTTAAAGGACTAATTTAGTCCTTCAAAGCAGTTTAGTTGCTGTGTTGCTAGATGTCAGCTGTAAGTCTTGGGGTGAAAAATTATGAAAGTTAATTCAATTAACTTCGATATGTTTGTCTTAAAATATTTTTTATGGAAAGCATTTCCTTTTTTCATAGGATAACATTTCTTTTCACTGAAATTTAAGGTTATTTTCATTCTATACAAATATTTCTCTTTGTATACAGAGAGGATGTGAAGTTAGATCTGACACCAAAAACATGCAAAAGTGACTCGTATTCGCTTAGCAGAAGAAATAATTTGTTTAAAGTAATTAGTTATTAATTGGAGAATTTGCATTGGAGACAGGTTCTGCGGGTAGCAAAGTGTGTCAACTTGTGAAACAAGCAGAATCACAATTTTAAAGAATGACTAAGTATTTTAAATGTAGTGTGAAGCACTACCCAGCAAGACCTGATGCCTGTCTTTACAATTCAGCAAAGTCAAACGTAAATATTTGTAAATACAAAGTGAATGAGAAATTTTCCAGTGTTGGTGTTCACGTCCGATGTATTCAATGTTTTAATCATAAATGGAACAGTGCAGCTATACCAACATATTAAATATATTTCATTTTTACATGGAGACACAAATATGGACCAGGCTTTGGGAAATACAAAAGCTTTATATAAAAAGGAGTGCATCATCATTATACAAATAATTTTCAAAGACTTCTCAACCACTTTGAACTTCCTTGCTTTAGCATGCTTTTTTTTTTTCCTACGTCTTTTTTTATTTGTCCTCAGTTCTTTTATTATTTTTTTTCAATGACCATCTTGTAACCATAACTTAGTGAAAGGAAGAGAAAAGTATATTTAGAGCATTTTGTGGATGTGCTTACTTATGGACTTAATCTTGCATCCTTAAAGTGTTTGCATTTACAGGGTGGTATTAAAATATTTTCCTGTAACTTTAAATCTACATGCCTCCATTTATAGATAAGATTCTGAAGCTGTAATTTTTCCAAACTGTTGTAAGATGATTTATTTGTGATGACACTTTGTCAACATGTCAACAATGTTTTCTGTACACTGTGCAATATATTTTGGTTTTGCCACTTGTGACTAATTTTTATGACTTTGCTTTTTAGAAAACTGGTAAATAAAACAGATATATTTTTAGTTGCCTTTTTGTTCCTTGAGGCTTCTGCTCCAAGTAAGAAGTCAGAATATGTGCTTTACTGATGGTATGTGAGCTGGTATTGCAGACTCTAGAGCTTGCTGTGATGTTAGCTCTGCCTTTCTGCCCTGGAGTAAAATTGCTGCCAGCTTTTCTGACATCTAAGTTTAGTGCTCACATGGAAGATTGAATCTTTATATTGAGGAGTTGTTCTGAAGTCACGTGCAGATTTCCTGGAAGAGCAGTGCAGCTGGGCTCTGTGGTGATCAAATCTGCCACAAGACACCCTTGTGCTTTCTGCTTTGCTCAGTGTCAGCTGCAGCCCCTGAGCCCTTACAGGGCTGGCTTAGGGACAGAGTTCCAGTTATGCCCCCTGCATTTGCTCTCCACAGTGATTTTCAGTCTTCTCTCGAGGTGTGACGTGTTGTCTGTGAAAATTGCTGGAACTTTCCAAGCTGCAGTGCTTCCCTCTTCATGTTTGCTTCTCTGGTGAGTGGGGCAGTGCTGGAGCTCAGGGCTTGGACTCCTGTTCAGAAGGGACCCCGGTTATGAGACCTAAATTAACTCTTCTTTTTCCATGGCTGTGTTTTGAGAGGTTGGTGGAATTTTTTATATAGAGCAAGCTAGTACAAGCCCTGATTTGGTCATAAAGGACCCAGATCCTTCTGTAAGCTGCACAATCAAGGTGTGTGGGTACCACAGAACAGGTCAGCCCACAGGGGAATTGCCTTCACACCAAGGGCACAGTGGTGGTGGTGTGCACTTAATTGCCAAGAGCTGCATTTTAAAACATGCTGTTAAACGCATTGTCTGCTCTTTGCAGTCCTCTGAATTAATCCTAAATGTGAGGGCAGTTCTGTGCCTGTCTGAAAACCCTGCTATCCCTAACAGCACCCGCGTTCCTCGCTCAGGGCAGCATGCAGAGAGCAGAGATGTGTTGGTGGAGCTCTGACAGCTCCAAACCTGAGTGTCACCACCTAACGGGGTCCCTGTGCCACCCTGTGCCACGCCAGGGGAGCTGGCTTTTGGATGCAAGTTCTGATAACTGATAACACGAACCTTGGGAGCACTGAGGTGCTGCTGGTGGGATAAATTGCCAGGCAAGGTTTCACACTCATTTCTGGTTTTGGCAAATTTCTTTTCAACTGTAAGTGTAATAAGAGTACGAGTTAAACGTGGCTTCGGGTATTCACCTACTCCTCCTTGGTGAGGTGTGCTCTGCCAGCAGCCGAGCCAAGGGCTTGCCCTGCAGAGCTGTTGGGAGGAGCCTTTGTCCGAGTTTTTCCCACCTCAGCAGCCCCTAGATGTCACTGGTGTCCTGGGATTATCTTTGGCAGCGTTTCCACCCTTTTGTCTTTATTCAGCTTCCTGTACATTGGGGCTGTTGAGTTTGCCATGACATTTTTTGATGTGAAGTGAAAGCTCTGTGGCTTGAATTTCAAATAAGATGATGAGAAAATTCATACTGAAGAGCTGTTGGCCCAACGACAGTGAATGCAAACATAAGGTCTGCTTGGAAAAGGGAAACAGACTGCTGAAAGCACCAGCTTTTAGTCCACTGAACAGCTGTCATGAATTTAGAGGTGAAAAAAGATGCTGACCTTACTGAGAATTAAGATCCTTGATGGTTGTTTTGTCTCTAATAAGGGTGGAAAGGACACAAGGCATTGATGAGCCTCTGACCCAAAAAGCATAATGAAATGAGTTGCATGTTTCTGGCAAACTAACAAACAGATGACTTGAAGGAGGGTAAGGTTTGTAGGTGTAACTTCCAGAAATCCCACTGTTTAATTGATCGGAAGTGCTTAAGAAATGTATTCAGTATACTGAACAAGGTAATCAATAGCTCAGGAACTCCATTTCCTCAGGGGCTGTGGAAGAGGACTTTATTTTCAGGGCTGCAACACGAGGTGTGTAACAGCTGCGTCTCTGCTTCCCTGAAACAAAATACCAAACGAACAAAAAACTGAACCAAAACTTCTCCAGCCTTTCCAAGTGGAAAAGCAACATAAGACTGGGTAGAAACTGAGGCAACTGAACTCTTAATCCTGGGTATTTCTTTTGCTGTCTGCTGATAAAACATGAGCTCCACCACTGAGCTTTCATTCCCCGGGTTTCTGGCTCTAGCTGCAGACAGAGAAGCTGCTGTGGCAGCACATGAATGGTGTTTAACCTCAGTGCATAATACAGTGTGAAAACACTTGCCTCTCACTGGAGAGAAAATGCTTTTCAGCTGAAGGCCACGATGTGAAAGAGGCCCCGTGTGGTGAGGCAGGTGCTGAGGGATGTCCGGGGGGACAGTGCTGGCTGTGTGGGGCAGGAGGGGGGACAGCACCTGCTGCACTGGCTGAAAGCTCTGCTGGGGCAGCCGCTGCACCCTCAGCCCGAGGGGTGTGCTGCTTTCCACTCCCTTGTTTTGGTTTGTGTTAGATACAAGGGTGGCTTCAAATTTCCTGCTCTTCCAGGATTGGTCAAGGTGTGTTTCTCAGTCTGTAGTAAAACAGGATATAGGGAATTTATTGCTCTCTTTAAATTGTTACAGTGGTCTAAAACTGCTTGTGTTGTTGTTGTACTGCCTGCTTCAAAAATTCTACTTCTGTCCAAGAACCTATTGGCTGTGCTTTTCCTTTTTAAAAACCCTGGCTATTGCTTGTCAAAGGTAAGGTCTACTGCTTGCTCTTCTGTTGTCACCAGCTGACTCCCTTGCAAATCTGTGACCTTTTTGCACAGGTTGCTGGATAAATTCAGCAAATGTACTTCTCTAACTGGCTGCAATCTTTAATTTGCTTATCTGTAGGAGCCTGCTCGGGTTTTCAGGGGCACTGGGGCTGGAGCAGCTCCGTTTTGAGGAGCCTGGTGGGATGGGCTCAGCTCGTTCAGCTCCCAGGTGAATGCTGTGGGTGCTACACAGGATTTCCTCCAATGATTTCATCTGAGCCATCTGTCCTTTCTGCTCGCTGTCACTTTTGTTCCTCCTGACCCCTCTCTCCAGCATTTGAGTGTTTGCAGTTTTGTTGGGAGCAGGTAAAGACTGAGGCTGACACATACATTGGGCCCAGGAGTTTCTTTGTTCTTGTGTTAATAAACTTCTCTCACCTCCTTTAGCCTTCAGTCTCAGTTTTGAATACTGGCAGATCTGTCCTCACATATTTTGGTTCAGTTGTGTTTCTAAATTTGCTAAAACCCAGGGGTTTCTGATGAAAATGGTTAATTAGATTGCAGAGTAACAACTTTGTGCTGAGCAGTACCTGCAATGCAGAGATGCTGTTTCTTCTAGAGTCCTAAAATACATGGTTGGTTTCTGCAGCAATACAGGATTCTAGGACATAAAATCACGTTATTTTCCTCTTGCAGTGAGAGAACACATCATTTACTATACCAACCAGTGTATTTCAGTATCAAATGGTATGTAAAGTGAACCATTTTGTATTTTTCATTGTTCAGTGTAATAGCTATCTTCTAGTGTAGTTTTTCTAACTGTTTAGGCTAAATGAGGTTTCAATGTACTTTTAATTTTTTTTTTTTTTAATTAAAAAAAAAACCTCCAGGAAATAATGGCATTGGAAACAGCTACATGTCTGCCTCAGGGCATGGCAAACCCAGGAATGAGCGGGATGGCTCTGGCTGCAGAGGATCTTTATGGGGGTGGGGGCTCGGTGACAGCCCAGGGATGGCTCTGGCTGCAGAGGATCTTTAGGGGGGTGGGGGCTCGGTGACAGCCCAGGGATGGCTCTGGCTGCAGAGGATCTTTAGGGGGGGTGGGGGCTCGGTGACAGCCCAGGGATGGCTCTGGCTGCAGAGGATCTTTAGGGGGGTGGGGGCTCAGCCCAGCCCTGGGGCTCTGCAGACCCAGCACCTCCTGTGCTGCAGTCACACAGCATATGGTGTGCCACGCTGGCAGCGGTGACAATGGCAGGAATGTGGCCATCGGGAGTTGTTTCCAGGCTCTATACGCAGTTGTCTTTACAAGCCTCCTCCTTTTTTGTGTTCTGGAGAGCGGAGCCTGCCCGTGAATAGGGCAGAGTGTCCCAGCTGCTGAGAGCAGGGCTGCGAGGGGAGGGGAGGTGGCAGAGCCTTTGTTCAGAGCTGATTTCTGGGGGTGCCTGCCTCTTCCTAAACCCCACATCCCACTTACCTTAAAGATGGTTTGCCTCCCTCCCTTCTAGAGACAAATCCAAGTATAAATATTTTGGTTATAGAATTGTGATGAACTTTGTTAACTACCAAAGCCACGTGGCAACACTGAAGGATTCCCACGTCGTGTAAAGAGCTAGGAAATTCTTCCATTGTCTTTTAGCGTACAAAAAGATTCTTACTGAACTCTTTTCAATAAAGGCTTCTAAAGCTTTGGATGTAGACAAGCAGTGAATTTCATATTATTTTAGTAATAATTACTTTGCATTACAAGAGCAGTGAATTTAAATGAGTTCAGCTTTAAAGACCTGATTAAGAGCACAGTTATGAACAACGTTGTTTTATTAGTCGTACCAGTCCCTTTAAAATACCTGCCCTGTATGTGCTCTAGCATTAAGAGGTGATGCTTAAGTCTTAAATTTTAATAATAGAATTTTCAGGGATCTCTGGCTTGGATTTTTATGTAAAATCTGTTTGCTTGTTTGGCTTTTTTTTTTTTTTTTTTTTTTTTTTTTTTTTTTTTTTTTTTTTTTTTTTTTTTTTTTTTTTTTTTTTTTTTTTTTTCTGATAGTCTCTTGGCTAACAGGTGGGATAAAGGTGTCTGTATCTCAATCTGAGAAAACCATTTATAGTCCCTCGTGGATTTCATGGCACAATGATAGAAATGAAGGCAGACTGCATGCTGTAAATGGTTTTACAAGTTTCATTTACTGACAGAATTAGTTTGATGAGGTGATATCTGGCTGCCTTTACCACCTCATTTAGTGTTCAGGGCCCTGTGAAGTTTATGGTGGTGCCCTTCACTCGTTGCCCTGACAGGGCGGCTCTGCAGGTAGAGTCTTTTTGGGTGGATTGGACAGGCTCAAAGGGCTC